TCATTAATCGGTCGAGTTGAAGAAAGCAATTGATGAAAAACGTCCGATTTTGGCCAATCGTAAAGGAGTTCTTTTCCATCTTGACAACGCCAGGCCACATGTTGCAAAACCGACCCTGGCCAAACTGAAGGAGATGAATTGGGAGATCATGCCGCATCTCCCATATTCACCCGACAGTGCACCTTCTGATTATCATTTGTTTCGATCGCTGCAGAACAATTTGAATGGAAAAAAATTTAAAAATGTGGAAGACGTTGAAAGTTCGGAGTGGATTGCTGAACATGATGGCGAATACATAATTGATTAATAAAAGCGCTTTCTTCAAAAAATTTCAATTTTAATTTGCACTTGAAATCGGGTAGGAACTTATGCAGTCATCCAATAAATTGAGCACTGAACTTGCCTCCCAGTTTTGCCATTGTTTTATGAGGCATATTTTGCTGTCGGAGTTGGAGTAAAACCAAAAGAAGTTTGGGAGAGCTCCCGGAGCCTTCCATACGATCCGAGTGTATTTATGACTTGAAATAAAGGCTCCTCATAAAAAACCATTAGTCTTTCGGGGGCGGCTTAGTGTAAACTGTAGGTCCCCACATTTGTTGGAAAAAATATCAGGACGCAAAGCCACAAACTGGAGGAGGAGCTCGAGCGGCCGACACGACAGCTACAAATCACTGGTCTTTCTCTAGGGAGGCTTGAATTTTGAATATAAAGAAATTTTTTTCGTTTGTCTGCCTTTCGAAAACCGCAGAGTATTCCAGATAAAGCACTGTAAGGGTTTAATTTAGGGAAAGTTAAGCTAAGCCAAAATCTCCCTCTGTAACTTTTCGACTCATTTCTGCCGCACTCATGACCGTTTCCAGCATTGAGTTGTGAGGTGTCACCTTGAGTGAAACCCTGCTTGCTACCGAATGGCTCAAATAGGTGCGGATCAATTTGTGAGGAAGCTTCTGCCATGTTTCAGCATATGTGCGTGCCTTATCATATTTATAGATATTTTCTCGCTCTCAAACATACTTTAAGCACGTCGATCAAAATCTACAGCTTTCTTTCTCAACCGGTAAATCTTCTTAGTCACCCATCTGGAGGCAAAATTCACAGCACTAACACATCTAACTTTCATAATTCTTACATCAAATTGAGCTTCATTTACAGTATCCAACTTTAATTGATTTATGACATCAAAGACATAGATTTTTCGCCATGTTGCACGCATCGTGCGTGACACTTTTTGCGTTGTCAGTCGCCAGCTTACTAAGCGGCGTTCGTTTTGGCTCGTTTCTGGCATTTGGCATTTGGAAACGCTCAAGTGTGTTGCAAAGTAATCAATCTTGAGGCATAAAGACGGCAGAGAGATACACGCACTGCTACCGGCAAGTTGGCTTTTGCCATGCCGAAGAGTACGTGAGCGTAGTGTATAAAGCATATGCTGCCTCACGCAATTCATCTAATGCTCCATTGCCTTGGCTTGTTGATAAATTTGACTTATGGCGTTTTTTGGTTAATACTGTGGAGTATATATGTACATCTGTATGTAGCTATGTATGTATATGTGTCGTTTGAATTAGTGCAAATGTGGGACTGACTGAAGAGTTTTGCCTTTGCGGTTATGCATCCACCGTGTGTGATCCTGACACAATCACTGCTTTTCTTCTACTGTTGCCACTACTGCCTCGTCTTCTCATTCCTTTGCCACACACTTGGACCAGTACTGTTGCCACTTTCGTTTTCTTCTTAGCCGTAAATCCTTTAGTGGCGGCTCCGACCGACAGCAGCAGGAAACACTTCTCGGCCCGTCAGTTAATCAGTGTGATACGTGTGCGCCTTTGCCAGTGTCCTGGCCTTTTCTATTGATTTATGTCACCACACAGCAGTCCTTTTTGCTGCGCGCACATTTGAGCTTATGATTTGTGTGAGTTTTTTCTTCACCCTTTCACTTGTAATTCTCGGTCTCTAAGCGTTGGCTCTCGAAATCGCTGAAAATTGATTAAAATGTAATTTTTGTAGCAACACCCTGTGCCCCGCCTCCGCTAATTGCCTATGCTGATGGCGGCGTAGTCCTGCCATTGGCGGCTTTTATCATTTAAATCTGTTTATTTGTAATTAAACTTTTACAATTTCTTGGCAATTCCTCCCCCTCCTTCTCCCCCTCCAACTCGCCAGCCCCCCAACTTCTGCATTTCGCACAGTGCTGATTTTCCAAGGTATTATTTTCTTTAATTTATTCAATTAAACGCTTCATAAATTTTTACTTTTCACTTTTCGCTTTTCATTCTTGTGGCTTTTTGCTCGCTATAACGGTATAACTTTTTAAGCGCATGCCGCCAATACTGCGCATTCCTTATCAAATACTGTTCTTGTTGTACTTGCTGTGTTTGCCGTTGGTATTAGCTGTCTTATTTTATCGTAAAAGGGTTAATTAATAGCTCAGCCAGCCTTCCTGCTTGCCGCGAGGTCTCATTGTATTCATTGAAAGTTTGCGCGATTCTTTGACCTCCTCCTCTCGCTAACGGCGCACTGATTCGCACTGATTTCTTCCACCTTGCTCATGTTGTCGTTGTTGCTATTGTTTTTGTTCATTACGCCAAAGCGCCATGGCAGGGGCACATTAATGCCCAACGGCATTTCGCAAGAATTTTGGCTTATTAAAAGGTATTGCGGATGTTGAAAGTTTTTCGTTTACACATTTTCCGTGTTCACCCATAAAATTTTATTCGAAAATGCTTATTGAAAATTTCTATATCATAGATATGCGTCTGTGCATCTTGATTGGTTGGGGTGGAGTGATTAAATTTGTTAAATTAATTAAAATAAGAAACAATTTAATGGACGATATGAAGTGATTTTTATATCAAGATGGCCAGGAGCGGACGTTTAACAAACATAAAAATCTCGAAAGCAAAATCGAAAAATAATTCTTAGATTAATTAATAATTAGAGTCGTCAGAATTTGAACACTTAATTTAATGAGGGACTGCTACCATTTTTTGGTTGGTTGAATAATAAGAAGGTGCAGTCGCCCCGTCTCCCCTGCCAATTCGCCAAATTACACAAACAGACTACAAGCGGGAATATGCTACAGCAACACCAAAGTTGGGCGAATTCACCAACAAAAGACCAAAATTATGTATAACGGTAAAAAATATGTCCCTCTTACTCAAAGCCAAATTCATAAGGGAGAGATCAGAAAAACACCTACAAGAGTTTCCTATTATATTTCGGAATTTGGCAACCCTAAAGGTGCAATCTAGAAAATGGCAACTCTATCATAAAGTATAACATTTATTATCTTAAACAAACTGAGAGTGTTTTGGCATCCAACCATGTTTTGTGGTATTTGCAGTAATTTCAAATATATATTTCGGTCAAAATATTACATTTTTTTTTCGCCTCATGGAACTCTATCAAGGACTGGGGCTTAGCAATGGTACGGTGAGCACTAATACATATGTGGGTAAGCTAATTGCAGGGTAAGACAGCTGCTAACAAATGGCGAAAAGCTTCCCTCATACAAATACCGCACAAAGAGGAATTGCATCCTGCTAGAGGTGGCCCAACTCAACGCTACGGATGTAGATACCGAGTGTATTGCGAACCGTTGCTTATTGCATGGTTCGCTGTCAGCAGCGTTCAACTATTTTCTAAAGGAGCCCGCCGGATACCGGTCTGACCGTTTCCATTTCTCTACGCTTTTTTCCGATCAACAAAAAGTCTCGCGCTAGTGGGTAGCCAAAGAACCAGATCTACCTACTTATGCACAAAAATTATCAAGACTCGGTTCTCTGCTCAAGTAAAACTGCAGCCATTGGACACGGCAATACAAACACGTTCCCTAATTTTTCGGTAACCGCAACGCAACGGGCCAAAAGGCTCACACGGCTTACTCTGCCCAAACTCCTTCGGCATTGGATAAGCATAGAGCTAAGCAATAAGAGGGAAACCAACTCTATCGGCTGGCGCAAAGTCTATGCCCCTGGAGATATAAGCAATAGCGCCAGCTGGGTTCCTTGGCACAAGTCAGTAGGCTCGCTCAAGGCAAAAACCATAAAGGAAGAGAGCGAACGCAAAACCCTGAATGGGTAAAGTTTTCAGCTCCAATCAGCTGCAACGTCTACAGAAACAGGAGCACTTCTCCCAATTAAACGCCCCAGCTGCTTCTAAACTATTAGGTTGTCCGTCAGGGTACAAAGCGACAGGAAAGCAGTTCCCTGCTGCTGATCAACTGCCAGAAGAACAAAAGGCTTAATTGGATAGGAAATAATTTTTGCTGTTAGAGAGAAGCGGACAATGGGGTTAGGCAGCGAGAATCCGAAACCCTCCTCAACAACGAAAAGGTCTAGGTCTCGGGAAACTACCGTGTTGGCTTCCAAGAATCATTGAGCTGCAGTAGCTTCTCATCAAAACCTTTTTGTTTAAAAATACAAAATCTTGGATGAACTGAAATCGTATATCCACGGACGCGGAATAACTCGTACCTACAGGTGCTACTCTCGACCGTGTAGACAATTGAAAAGTAGACGATGGCAACATCTGAGGAGTTAATTGAAATTGGTTTCGGGGAATATTTCGGGAGTGACAGTACATTGATGGATAAAGACCTGACACCAGCGGGTTAGGGGATCAAGAATTTATCCCAAGGTAAAGCATGCCTGTCGTAAGACACTACTCAAATCCAATATAAATCGAGGTCATTTTGTCCAGTGCCCATTGGAGGAAGCAAAAGAAGACCCTTACTCAATAGGAAAGTACAAATGGATAAGAACCTGGTTTCACTTCACGATGAATAAATTAATGATGTCATTGGATCAGCGGGAAACCATGTCTTTTTGAAATCCTGGCTGAATCTATCCTCTAGCTAAGTGGTTAAATTTCCAAATGGTTTCAGGTCATAACCAATTCTCTTAATATTAAAAAATAATGCTACGGGCCTGATAATAACTCAACTCCTTAACAGATAAAAAACCGCTTTAATTATTTTATTTTATTTATTGTAAAAATATTTCGGGTATTTTTTTTTGAAAAATATATAAAAATGGGTTGGCCTTTTATTGTGATGAGTATATTGGATTAGTGAGTTGTGAAATTTATATACTATTTCCAAAATTCTTAAACCTAAGATTGCTCAAATTCCACTTCAATAGAAATTGGAAGCTCATCCTTTACCTCTGGTGTATAAATTTTGCCAGCAGCAATCACGAACTCCTCCTCACAGTCCATAACGAAATACAAGAAGGGACGATTTACTTCAATTGACTCAAGTTCTGGCGCTCCAGATGTACGCGCCTGTGTATCAGAGGCAGTGAGAGCGTTCTCACTGCTACCACTCTCATCTACGCGTACGCTCACAAACTGCACCACTTCATCCACATGCAAATCATTATCGGCGGATAACAAGCTGAGGTCAGACTCTTCGCGTGCGAAAAGTTTCTTCAAACCGATGCTCTTTAACATTGCCTCAGAGCGTGAGGTCTCATCAACTTGGAATTTTGGCAAAGTGACGCGCAGTTCTCTTTGTTGTGCTAATGATTTAGCTTTTTTAAGATCTTCAGCTTGTAATTTCTCGATCAGTGAACGAAGTCCCTCGGTTTCATTGGGCAGCACGATCATCATGGCAAATTTTTTGTTCTACAAAAATAAAAAAAATAAAAACAAATGGGTAAAAGAGTGTGTAAATGAAATGAGAATTTTATTTTCAAATATACTTTACCTCATACGGCAAACAGAGCACCTTCGCATTCAAGTGCTCCAATTCAGCCACATGGAATGTGCCCTTCGTCTGCATCATTGGCACTTTTGTTGCATCTTCGGCTGTCATAAAGAAGAAATTGTCTTCATCGGCGCTTATTTTAGTGAACGGCTTCGCCCAGAGCCCAGCAAAGTAGAGACCGTTGAAAAGCAGCATTTTAGTCTTCGCGCCGGCTGAGCGTCCTGTAATGGAGTTGGCGCTCAAAGCGTGCGCGATATCTTCCTTACGGAAAAGGCTACGTGCGGATAGTGCCTGAAAAAATGAGATAAAAATGAAGAGTCCTAATAGATGAAATTTGCGCCGCCTTGCAGTTGACTCACCCTGCGCACTGAACTTATGTGAGATTCGAGTGCAATCATTATTTCACCGGCATTTTTATTAGCCGTATCGAGTGCGCTTTCTAATTTCTGTAGGGGCAGTGTAACCTTCTCCGGCTCATTGGAGTCCAACACCTCCTGTATTGGTATACCGCTATCTTGGTTGTCGTCGTAATGTTTTTGTAATTTCTCCTCGGAACGCACAGTCTCATTGTCCTCGAAGTTCAAGTCTTCTTCACGCTTACTAACTTCTTTACCAATCAACTCGTCTTCATGTTTGGGTATACTCGCCAAATTTGAGGCTTCTGTCTCTTTCAATTGTTCACGAACTTCATCAAGTGTCGTTGTGCTCTCTGCGCCTTCACCTACTTCTTTCGGTTGCTCTTCAGCTGTTTTTACACCTTCATCCACCTTTTTGAACTCCTCCAATATCGCTGGTTTCCCCACATATTGTTTGTCGTCAACCACACGATCGAATTTCGATGGCACCTTATCAACCACCTCTTCGCCGTAAGTATCAGTCGATTGCGTCTCTGTGGCAGCTGCAGCAGCCAAATCAGCATCGGCTCTTAAGCGCTTCAAGGTCTCAAAGCCAACCACATCTTTGCTGTTGCTCACTGAACTGGTCTCCACATCCAACGATGTGTTTGGCTCATTCCAGTCATACTCGTCGCAATTGATATCTTTCACCATGACAAAGTAGTTGTCACGCACCAGCTGTTTGAACTCATCGCGCGCCGTGTTGTTGCGGTAGATGTACAACCAGGTTTGGAATGAAGGCGCCGTGGAATATTCATGATTTTGATAGCGCGATAGTATGCGTTGGAAGGAGGTACGCAAATCGGCACGTTCAGCGGGGAAGCCAAGTGTCTTGCTAAACTCATCGTACGTATCGCCTGCCGCACCCTCCGCCAACACGCCGAGTATGGAACTGATGCCCAGAGGTGAATAAACTTGATTGGAATCGATATCAACGTTGAATTTAAGCATATTCAAAGCGATCTTCTGCGAGACGGCGCTTGCGAAGCGCGGCAGTGGTGGCTGAGCTGCAGCAGTTGCATCTCCTTCACCGGTTTGTGTGGGTAATGCCACGGCTAGTGTGTAGCACAGACCGAATAGCACTGCGGTGAGACAAAATTTCAATTAACCAAATGAAGTTTTCATATAAAATATTTCACAATTCAAATAAACTCTATCTTTCTTTCTTTATTTTTTTTCGAAATACTTACACACAATTTTTATCTGCATATTCATTGTGCCACTTTCTAAAACTCCACTCCCTCTAATATAGTCGAAAGCTCACCTGGCCGTGTATATATGTATGTGTGTGGGTGCCTGTGTGTGTCTCTTACCAAAGTTTACGACCGATTTCTGGCGGTCTTGTTAACCAAACGAATGCCAAACGACGAATGAAGAACATTGGCGTAGGCCAAAGTGTTTTAACAAAGAAAGAAAGCAATGTAACCATTCTTCGGCAAAGAACTGCGTCAGAATATGATATTGGCTGGTTTTGTTGGCAGCAGCATTGAGCTGTCAACGGTGCTGCAGAACTGGTTATAGATGTACATTTGTATATACAATACATACTATATGCACATTCACATGTACTCTACTTGTTGTAGTATTTAGAAGTTGTTGGCGGGTGACAGTGAGATGAGTTGTTTAAATACATATTGAATAAATATATTGGATGAGTGCATAAGTTCGTGCCCGATTTCAAGTGCAAACTAAAATTGAAGTTTTTTGAAGAAAGCGCTTTTATTAATCAATTATATATTCGCCATCATGTTCGGCAATCCACTCCCAACGTTCAACCAATTTACGGATGCCTGATTCATAGAAATCGCGCGGTTTCTCGTTGAAAAAGGTGTCAAGGTGGTTTTTGACGCCTTCCACATTTTTAAATTTTTTCCATTCAAATTATTCTGCAGCGATCGAAACAAATGATAATCAGAAAGTGCAATGTCGGGTGAATATGGGGGATGCGGCATGATTTCCCAATTCATCTCCTTCAGCTTGGAAGAAGGCCGTCCACTGCGAGGTTGATCTTCGAGGTTAAAATTTCCAGAACGAAATTTCGCGAACCATTTCTTTACTGTGCGGAGTGCTGGAGCACGGTCCAAATAAACTTCGCGAATATCTTTAGTTGCAGCGCATACTGTTTTTCCTTTGCGGAATTCATATAACATAATCGCAATGATCTTTTTAGTTGTCCATCTTTCATGCGTCTTTTCACTAAGCAACTCAAATCAAAATGAAATGATTTGCAGTTCGGACTGTCACCTTTCCAACGATATATAATATGTATATATTTCTTTCACGAGCGCCACTCTAAAACGATTGGAACGGCATCCAGCGGAATCGGGCACGAACTTATGCACTCATCCAATAACAAGGAAGATTTCAGCTGAGGATGGAGTTAGTACAACTAACACTTTTAATACTAAATATATTAAATAAATAAATTAAGTCAAATAAAAAAATAGAATAAAATTAAATAAAATAAAATAAGAAAAATGAAAAAAATGAAAGTAATAAAGAAAATAAAGTATAATAAAATATTTACTTAAAATAAAATGAAAGAAAATAAAATAAAATGAAATAATGAGAAAAAATATAATATAAAATTAAAGTAATATAAAGTAAAATTAAAAAAAATAATATTAAATCAAATTTATTAACCTAAAATAAAGTAAACTTAAATAAAACAAAATAAAATAAAATAAAAAAATGAAAAAAATATAAAATAATAAATAATAAAGTATAATAAAATATTTAGTTAAAACCAAATGAAATAAAATAAAATAAAACAAAATAAAATAAAATGAAATGAAACAATGTAAAATAATATAATATAAAATTAAAGTAATATAAAATAAAATTAAATTAAATTAAATTAAATGAAAAAAAAAATTAAATTAAGCTAAATTATATTAAATAAAAAAATTATATTAAATAAAAATAAATAAAATAAAATAAAATTAAATTAAATCGAATTAAAATAAATTAAACTAAGTTATATAAATTATATAAAAGGAAACAAAATGAAATAAAATAACCAAAAATAAATAAAATACAACAAAATTAATTTAAGTGAAACAAAATAAAGTAAAACAAAAAAAATTAAAATTAAATAAAAACGGTAAAATTAAATTAAACGAATTAAAAAAAATTAAAAAGAATAAAATCAAAAAAAAAATTAATAAATAAAATAAAAAAACCAAAAATTAAATAAAATAAGATAAGACAAGAAAAATAAATATTAGTTAAGTAACGTAAGCCAAAAGATAAAAAAAAAATTAAACAAAATACAACTAAGTTGCATTAAAGGAAAAATTTGGTGAAATAATATATAACATAAATATAAAAATAAGTATTGGAAATTAATTGAAATTAAGTTGAATTATATTAAATAAAATAAATGAATCGGTCAAATCGAAGAGGTGCACTTTAAATTTGTGGTTTTGTTTCCCGATGCTTTTCTAACAAATGGAAGGAACTGCAGTTTAATCTTACCCATCTCCAAAAGGATTAATTTCGTGTCCTTAATAAACTCTGTAGGCTTAAAATTCCCTGTCGAGGGGCCACCGCAATTAGAAAAACTAATTTTCTATAATTTTGGATGTTGATCGGGACAGGCCATCCGAATGTTAGTACGCAATACCAACCATTCGGCCACTGTGCCTATTCTTATATATGTACATGTACATGTATGTGTGCATATATTACTTATTTGTATTTAGTGAGTTTTACTTATACATCGGTAGGCTGCTGATCATTAGTATTATTATGCGATGGATATGTAAACATCAAATCGTTGGATAACTCAGTACGAGTGAACTAAGCTAAATAATCTCAAGCATAAATATCATTTATTTATTAAATGAAAGTAGAAGTAGTGGTATTTAAAAATAACTTAAGTACTTAAATACATATAATTAGCAGCAAATTGTTACATTTAGAATTCCTCTTTTCGTTTTCAAGGCAAAAAGAGCAAACAAAAAATGCTTATAAATGAAGATTTATTCATAACCGAGTAAAAAATGGGTCAAACATGCATGAAAGTTTCACAACTAAATAGAAAATCGTAAATGACAACAAATAACAGCCAAACATTGGACATGACTTTCTAATGGGCACAGCTTTAACAACTCAAGAAAAAAAACAACAAAAGCGATTTGAAATATGGGAACGTGCCACAAATAGTTGATTGGCGAGTTAGCGAAGATAACTGAGAAGAAAACAATAAAGCACATTTGGAAAGAAAATTAAAAATTAAAAGAAATTTTAAAATGTGCAATAAAATGTATAAGACCATATTTTATTCTGCTTATTTTCTTTTCTACGTACATACATACATATATTCTCATCCAACATTAAACTTATTTCTTTCCCCACTTCACTACAACCAAATGTACACTAAATTCAATTTGTGTAGTGGAAATTGATTTGGACTTGAACTTCATTTCGCTGCCAGCTACATTCATACATATGCACATACATCTCCATACATATATGCGTACATACATTTATACGCGCATCAAACCTCGATTAACCCAGTTTATATGTAAATTAGGCAAACCGTTGTGAGCCAACAAAGTGAGAATAAAAACAGAAATCTTAACAAAGCAACAACATCAAGTATATGAGTTGAAGCGTTAAGAAATTGAGGCCAGTGAACTTGGTAAGCGAAATTTTGGGCATTTCTTTTGTTGCTTTGCATTTCAAAATTTTTTTTTATTTCTATTTTTTTTTTTTTTTTGGATTACCATTTTCGCTTAAATTTATTTGATCATATTTTTATGTGTTCCCTACTAGTTTAAAAATATTTAATAATATACAAAAAAATATTGAGTTTTGCAAAATTTTTTAAGATTCATTTGAAGTAAAAATTCTTTTATCTGCTCATTATTTTTATTTTTAAACTATATTTTTTTTTTGTTTTTTGTTTATTTTATTCTACCGATATGCGGCAAAAGAGATCACTCTGATAGAGCATTAAATGTTTTGAGCCGAAGTGTGGCGCAGAACAAAACAAGTTTCTTAGCTTGGCAGTGAAGGTGGGGATGGCAGTTTAACCATAAAGCAATGAATCATTTTTAGAATAGCGCGTGATGCGTTGCAGTAAAGAAATATTTTTTGTATTCTGCATTCAGTGGGCAAGGCGATAATTTGTACGTATTATTAGGGCTGGTCGGAATTAAATAAGCATGAAAATTTTGTTTACTTTTTAACTTAAAAAGTTACTATTATCATACTTAATAAATAAAAAAATAAATAAATAAACAAACAAAAAAAAACAAACAAATAAATATAGTGAAGAATAAAAAATAAATAATTGAAGCTTCTTACTCTAAAATATTTTTGTAATTGACATAAATACTATCCAATTTGATCTGTATTATTGGTTGGTTTACCAAAAATTTTGGTTAAGATCTCTTTTCACATTCTCAATCAAATATATGGTAAATAATATTTATTTATGCTCTTTGCGGTCTGCCTAGTTCAACTTAGCTTTGGCCTTGTTGTTGATATAAATATTTTTTTATTGTAAATTAAGATTTTCTTCCATTCAGAGTCTAACTCACTCATTTTTTGTACTCTAAAAATCAGTACAGAGAAAATTATTTACCAAGAAATTCAGTAAAGGGAGGGATGAATAATGGTAAAGAAATAGTTTTGGTTCTTTTTTGATAGAAATTTTTCGAATAAGTTTTTTTTTCGAAAAAACGGTCGCTTAAAGTTATGAAAGTCCAATTATTATTTTAATTTACCTTTTATAAACTTGATATTGTGTATTAACTTTGGTTCAAAGTAAAGGAGCATATGTCGGAATTGACCGAATCAGACCAATATAGTATATATATCACCGATTTGTTCAGATATGAGGTTTCTGTTCGAGAATTCCTCAAAAGAGAATCTATGAATAGGATATTTGATATTCTAGAGCAGTACTGAGAATCAAAATCATTCATCACTTAAAAAAAATTAAGCTTAGAGACCTATCATCCATCTCACCCTGATCTGTCCTTCATATCTCCCGGTATTTTCATTGCATAGAGCCTTTAGCGACTTTTGTATCTAATTTAATTATTGGTTCGGTTGTCAGACGAATGATAGTTTTGGCAACCTCTTCAACTGCTCCTTTACCCACAGTGAAAGGTATCTTCGCCACAACAGACGGAAAAATCAGCCTCCACTACGAAACATCCCCGATTGGGTTGAGGCTGATTGACTTCACCGGGGCCCGAAATATGGTTGTCTGCAGCAATAGATGCTAGAACAAGAAAAATCACCAAGTTACTTGGATGTCTTCAGATTGAAAAACTTCCAACCAGATCGATGATGTTGTGGTGGACGGAAGACATACACGTATATCCAGTGCTTTAGATGTGCCTGCGTTCCGAGGTCCTAAGATC